GACAGTGGCAGTGAGCAACAGGTTAAATATTACATTATGAAAATATCGGTGTATAGATTAATTATTTTTATTTTTAATTTTTAGACTCAGAATCGTTTTGAGAAAGAGAGGGACCTTCATTGTAAGCAGCTGGAGCTGGACGAGAGAGAGAATAACATTAATAACAAGGAACAATCACTTCTGTCCCGTGAGCAACATTATTATAATTTAAAAGAAGAACTGGATAGAGATAGAGAGAGGTTGGAGTCATGGAGACTCTCTCTGGAGAGTGAAGATGAGAGAGTACAGCAGAATATGAAGAGTGCTTCAAAACTGTTTGATGAAGCAAAACAAATGAAAGAAGAGTAAGTGCATTAACATGACAATATACTCACATGAACAGCAATCAATCAATGAATGGATGACTAATGCTGTACTACCCCATGGGCTACCATAGTCTGCTTTTTGCTACTTTTTAAAATGGCTGTAACTTGAAAAATTGAAGTTGGAATCAGCTCAAACTTTCTACACAGCATAAAGACATCAATATGTATCAGAAAATGTAATAAAAATTTGGGGTGATTTTGGAGCCATTTTTTGGGAAAAACCATGGGCTATAGCCTTGGGTATTTTTCAGAATTTTGACGTTTTCTTAAAATGGCCGTAACTTGAAAAATTGAAGTCAGAATCAGCTCAAACTTTCTACACAGCATAAAGACATCAATATGTATTAGAAAATGTAATAAAAATTTGGGGTGATTTCGGAGCCATTTCTTGGGAAAAACCATGGGCTATAGCCTTGGGTATTTTTCAGAATTTGGGCACTTTCTTAAAATGGCCGTAACTTGAAAAATTGAAGTGGAGATCAGCTCAAACTTTCTACACATACAGCATAAAGACATCAATATACATGTACATCAATATACATGTACATGTACGTGTACATATCAAGTTGTTGTAGTATTTATGCATTACTTGAATTTATTTATTTATATCCCCGACAGTGCTCTATCAGCAGCTGTTACCTCCACTCCCATTAAAGACCCAGCCCCCACCAGTTCTTCCAATCCGTCAGATAAAGTTACTCCTACTCCTCCTACTGACCCGCCCCCAAAGACTCAACCTCACTTAGTGAAGGCACACACTATAGGTCATTCCAGTGGGGGCGGGGCCTCAGGGGGCGGGACTGAGTCTCATAAAGACGCTAAAGGAAGGAGAGCAACTTATTCATTCACTGACCAGGTAGACCAGGTATCAATTTATTATTATTAATAATTTATTGGGCGAAGCCCACTAGTTCGAGTAGAGTATGTTTGTTTGTTTGTTTGTTTGTACACGTACGTCACCCCTATTTATCCGTAT